AACATGATTGGTAGGACCATGCAGTCAAAACATTTAAAAACAAACAATCGAGAGGAATGTGGCGATTTCTAGCCTTTGAGGGGATAATAAACACGTCTTTTTATGCTTTCGTCACATCGCCATTATTCCAGCCATTTAGTGACGAAATCAAGTCTGCATCCATAAACATTTTAAGTACAAAGTCCAAATGAGTTTTACTTTAAATACATATTTATTCATGACATTGTTATCTAAAACAGAAAATGTCATAGCACTTAAAAATAAAGGCACTCAATTCGTTATTCGCATTACATAGTTACAATGTATGATACAGATCAACTTCCCTCAGGTAGTTCACATTGAGATGCCCGCTCACGCGGAAAACAGATATCGGTGGTACATGAGTATAACAAAGGAGTACATAAAAATATACAACAAGATGACTAAATGATACATCAATTAAAGTGTTTGCAAACAATCTTAAAATGAACTTGGATACATTTTAGAGTAGATATTTTACTTGAAAAGGTTGACGAAACTTTGACAAATTCGGCCATGTAAGGTTCGTTTAACAATGATACTAATTCGTTCCATGAATTAATAAAACTATAGATAAGTAGGGTCTGAAACTTGAAACAACTAAAACTTCATCTCAGTTAAGCGGCTCACAGAAGGAGTATTGGGGTCGCGCTAATCTGAAGTACGGTAATCCGATGTTTTCATAGCAATTCGCTTTGGCGGCACTTCTAGCACAACTTTGGTTTTCGCTTTACCGGGAATAGGGAATATTGAAATTTCGCTTTCCCGGGCCGACACCGGTTAAAATACTGTAAAATGATTGTCCTCCTGAGAGGGTACGTAAGTCCCAAAACATTCAAAGTAAATTTAAACTCTCCACTTTTTAATCGTAGAATATGTGTATTTTTTAATGTATGGCTAGATGTGTGTAAATTGCTAACAACTGAAGGGATGATGTACATCCAGCTATAGGGTCCATGCTGGAAGCAAATGTATTGTCAGTCCCAATGGTCCCCAGTATGGTGATCTACCTTCAGTTGTTGGCAATCCATAGCCTATTTTTATATTGTATTGTCATGTATAGTTAAAATGTTTTATATTTAGTTACTAGTTTTAAATTTCTAACTGTGATAATCTAGTTGTTTTACTGTCCTCCTTCGTAGACAGGTTTTTATAATTTACCTTTCATTTATATTAATGTATAACTTTATTTAGTCACGATATGGCTGAAATATTGCCAAAGTGACTTTACATTTTAACTCACTCACTACGCTTGAGTGCACACCCACCAGCTCTGACTGGGTTCGGTATCCGGGTGCTTCGTTTCGAGCGTAGTATACCCAAGTACAAAATAGTGTGTTTTAAAATCATAGGTGATACTGACAGTGTATGAAATAAGCCCCAAACCCAGCCAGACATCAGGGGCTGGTAACTTCAAAATGTTACCAGCCCAAATTGATTTGAACCAGACCAGACACCAAGATATGTATGGAACATGTAAAAGTTTACCAGATCATCGGGCTGGCTAGCTGTAAATTTAGACCGTCCGTCAGGAAATCTAGCCCGTCTCGGGCGTTGGGAGTGCACTATTTCATACACTGGTAATAGACATCCTATTTTTACATGACATGATAAAATCCAGGCATTAGAAAATCCGAAAAGACTACACTGCTGGGATACTTTATAAGAACTACCGGGTATATTTTCAAATAACGGCATCTGATTTGCATCCGCACTTCCTAATGTCCCCACTGTTTATGTTGAAGAAAATTCTGCCAAGGTGGACATTAGCCCAGTGCCCGAGTCCGTCGCGGTCGAGGGAGCAGGTACTGAACAGCTTGCAGCTAGGATTTGAAATAAGACTGTTGGCAAGAAACATTAATGCCTCTGGATCAGTGCCCTTTTTAAAATCGTTGCGAGATTTGTCAAATGTCGCAATCTCGCGATCTCGCGATCTCACCCGTGCTTTTCTTTATAACGTGCCAGTTGCCCATACAGTTCTATGTAACGATTTTCAAAACACGAGACCGCGAGATTGCGACATTTGACAAATCTCGCGATCTCGCGTTCTCGTGCTTTTGTGCCAATTACCCATACAGTTCTATGTAACGATTTTCAAAACACGAGAACGCGAGATTGCGACAAATCTCGCGATTGACAAATCTCGCGATCTCGCGATCTCGCGTTTTTCTGCCAATTACTTATACAGTCATCTTGAACTGCGACATGATCACGGTTAGCGTTCTCAGTCGTGGCAATGGAGTTGCGTCCTTGACATAAAGATCTCGCAAGCGATGCCAGAAACCTATGCTGGTGGGTTTCATCCTGGAGTTGCATCGAACTGATAATCCGTGACATAACTGCAAGATAAATACTGTTGAAAGTCGTGTTAAGCCAAACTCACTCACTTATTTAGTGCAATGCACGTGCCCCGAAGGCAATGGGGGTTAATTGCCAATATTAGGCCGCAATAAATTAATAGACATAGTTTGATTAATTTCTAAAAAACATGGGAGGTGGGAAGTATGTTTATTTACATTTAATTTTTGTCTAATCGAACTTTTTAAGGCACCTGTGTACATTTAATGTAGAAGGATTCGATTCACATGCATCATGCATGTTCGTCAAAATAAAAGAAAGTAGGAATGTAATAGGGTGAATTAGGTGGTTGTATGTTGTGTACGTAAATGAATAACTAATCATCATTATCTTATATCAGGATATAGTGGTCTCGCAGACGACGACTTCTTTATGCATTTAAGTTGCAATTAGTTGTCAGTTCAGCTGCCTCTTGTCCTTGTGTTTCAGAGAGTGAGTGATTGAGTTTAGTTCATATGGCGGCTGTATGTAAATAATCGAGTGTGGACCAGACAATCCAATGATCAACATCATGAGCATCGATCTGCGCGATTGGGAACCGATGATATGTGTAAACCAAGTCAGCGAGCCTGACCACCCGATCCGTTAGTCGCCTCTTACGACAAACATGAGTTCCTGAAGATACATTCTAACCCGGACCTTCACGGGTGTCTTTGTGTTTCATGTACAGTTCTGTGTCACAGTTTGGTCAGAATCAAAGGTTAGTTATAATGCATTATAATTTTACATACATAGTCAATTAAACCGTAATATTAATCATTACACAAAATAGGTATAAATATGCCCATGATAACAAAATAAAAGTCAATACACAATATACCATTTAACGTGTATGAATGTGCTTAAGGTAGTTTTCTATATGTGTAGTCAATATGTTGGCTAGTAGTTGTTGTTTGGTAACTATTTTCTGTACAATGTAAGATTGATATATCTCATCTATCATGTATATTCTATGTACTGTGACAGAGATTACATTTGATCAGTGTGTTGTTCTTATATGGGATTAGTGCATCGGTTTCTTTGTACAGTATCTACAGTATATTTAATCATTATTCCATGTATTATTATAAGTCTTTATGTCAACACTCATTTTGTATATCACTGTAAACACTTGATCACGTAAGTCACCTGTGTTATATTGCATCGCGTAATACCAGTATATGACTGTTGATAGGCACATTTTATGCACTTCATAATACGATTTTATGATGACATGTATAATCATTATTGTTATGTGGGGTTTTAAATTATATTGAATAAACAGATATCCTACTCATAACCCGTAGTCTGTGGTTAATAACACATTGAACTCCGTCATATCATGGCTGCCACAGGAACCCAAATATTAGCGAGACAAATGTATTTCTATTTCTTGGAACTTGAAGAAAAAATAATAGTATAAAGCAGGATGTTTTGTAGTCAGGCAGGAGCGGAAGAAAATCTATTAAAGTAGCGAATATGGTGTCGAGTAAAACACCAGACATGCTCATTTTAGCCGACTGCTACAAATTGGCCTGTTAGAATTTTGTTTGAATGAATATGCTAGCCGTATATGATATTGTATTATGGAGAAACTCTTGTCCGGATATTTGTATAACTGACGGTGTAGCTGTGAATTGATGCGGCTTTAAGCACTATTTTATCACTCACTGACGTTAAAATATGTCCAGCTTCCGGACACTTTCATGTTTTGACTTTTATTGGACATTCATATTCACAATTTCGTTTGTTAAATTATATTTAACACGTTGAGGATTTTAAGTACATAGGAAATCGTAACAACGGCAGCGGACTTATATACACTACCCCACACATCGTGTATGTAAATTACATAGCATTTTCAAGCTATGTCATAATTTTGCTAAATGCTACTTGGGAAATGAAAGCACGAAAGAATCATAACCACAGCACTACTAAGATGCGCATGCGCCTTGACCTTATGATATTACGCATTTGCAACGACATCGTCTAAAACGCGAGATCGCGAAAACGCGAGAAATGAAATGTCGCATTCTCGCGTTCTCGCGATTTCGTGTTTTTGTGGCCATATTTGACAAGTCGAGATTGCGAGAATTGACAGCATGTACAAATGTCGCATTCTCGCGATCTCGACTTTGACTAAAAGGTGCCACCAAAAATGAGAACCAAAACAGATTTTGGCCAAATCTCGCGATCTCGCACTTTTTTGGCATTTTAGCTTGTTTCCCAACGGACGAGATCGCGAGAATGCGAGATCGCGAGAATGTCCCTTTACAGTATTCCATACAAAACACACCAGAGTTTCACTACAATAATCTTATATCAGGAATAAGAAAATTAACCCTTGTTTTAATTACAATTAAATCCTTAACCGCATTTACAATTGGGCTGCGATATGTGGACCCAACATCAGACAATGAAACAATACTTTTACAACATAACATTCAGGAGGAACCTTTCCCCATGATTTTGCTTGATTTGTCTCTTCAAGACCAGAAACACTGCACAAGGCCTCCACTATAGCTTCATGTCAACAGAAACTCACAAAGACAGGAGACGTTGCACATGCATGCCAGATAAAATGTCTATTAATTGTTTGATCGGCATTCTAGAAGTTGGTGAGTAAACAATGAAACATACAACTTTATGGATGACACCTTTTTGTTCATTGCATCAAGCGACGTTTCGATGTAGATTCTGACATCGATATCAAGCTGATAAGCTTTTAGCTTGATATCAATGTAAGAATCTACATCGAAACGTCGCTTGATGCAATGAACAAAAAGGTGTCATCCAGTTGTATGTTTCAAAATGTCTATTCTCATACTCGTGTACTCATGATGCACCAAATATAACTCACGTGCCACAACGAGAAGCTGTTCACAGCCAGGTATCCCCTTGGTTGTGTCAAACGTCCGACATTCGTAGAGCCCTGCGTCCTCTGTAGTGACATTATACAGTGTAAACCTGAACTCTGATGTGGTGATGTTCACTGGGATGTCTCTGTCTCCGTACCATGTATGGCTGTTGTTCACAGTGTCATGCTCAGTGTCAGTTTTGAGAAAGAGATATTCTGAAACATTATTAACTTCTACGCCGACTTTATACTCTTGTCCAGCCTGGGCCGTGTTGAGGGAGATGGTCACGTTATGATCAACAGGTGCAACGATGTAATCAGATCCTGTCGTGGCAGACACGAGACCTGCAACTAAAACATTATTGTCAATATACGTCCACACAATACTGCACACATGCAATAATTAAACATTCAGCGATTGTGTATGCAATAGTTGTTAACATTAATTTGAATAAACGTGTGTAACAAATGTTAGTATCTACATCAGTAGAAATACTTACCCAAAACAAGTAGTGCCCCAGAAACAAGATCTACCACACACATGACTGTAATTCATTGCCTAGTGGTGAGCGGCCAGGGTCCAACTGGCTATAATATCATGGGTTTCACTTGTTGCTGTCACCAACACGAGTTGCACATGGTCATACTACAGGAAACAGATAGGTCGTATCACTTGAGACTTTCACCTTCCCACATACACCGCAAAGTAATACGTTATGTGAGCATTCAGCTACAAAAGGACATTGTGTCATTACAGAGAAAGAAAATTAAAATAGAGTAGTAGTTTTGAGTTTAATCTCTTTTCAAAATCGCTGATGTTTATAGAAGGATAACAATATATAGTTGATCAAACAAACGATGATAATGGTGTTTGAACCTAAACCAAGACGTCCTCTGTGGTCAGAGTTCAGGCTTACACTGTATGATGTCATTAGTCATGTCTCACTCAGGTCTCTACGGATGTCGGTCGTTTGACACAAACCAGGGGTACCTGGCTGTGAACAGCTTCTTGTTGTGGCGTTTCGGTGTAGGTTCCAAAATCCCCCTCAGAAATTAATTGATATTTGTCTGGTCCTGTTGTATAAATGCGTTGCGACTGAAGACGTGTTAAATGAACACGCCCTTGTTCCCTTAAGTATTTTAAATCGTTGTTGTGCTACTGAACTGCGATCTGCTATATTGGATTTGAATCCATGTTTCAGCATGGTAAATATATTTACTCAACAGAAAATCTTACACTGCCTTCATTGATCCTGTTAAATATTTAAAATGGATAATGTTCGCTCCCCGAAATATGAAGCTGCAGAGGCAACACGACTGAATGGCTATATCTGAAATTCAGTGTCGCTTCGAGCCCTGAAAGACCCCACGCTTGTGGTAAGAGGCAACTAACGGGATCGGGCGGTCAGGCTCGCTTGACACATGTCATTGTATCCAAATTGCGTAGATTGATGCTCATGTTGTTGATCACTGGATTATCTGATCCAGACCCAAATATTTACCTACCGCCGCCATGCAGCAGAAGAACCAACCAACCAACCACCCCTAGATGAACTCACGGGTCAAACATGCAGTAGCGAGTCTCTATGTATGATGGCCTCCAGCATGCCACGAATCCCCTAACCCAAACATCTGCAACTGCAACCACATCAAAGCTGATTCCAGTCCACACATGTTCTGGGCGGAGAGCTGCAGTGCCCTTGTCGTATTGTCCAAGACTGTTCCACATGTACACCAGCGGATTCAGGCATCCGAAACAGGGCTAAGGTGGAGTGAGAGTAGGCTGTCACTGTCCTGGAACTATTTATAAATATGAGTGAGTGAGTGAAATAATATGTAGCGTCACATCGACAATATTTCAGCCATATCGTGACGAGAACAATTTTAGTTTATTGTCAATTTTACTTTTATTTTTTAACTTTATCTTTAATTTCTAGTTTCATAATTATGAACTGGGTTCTCGTGGCAAGAGGGATGGTGTCTAAATAGGGTATAACTTGGTCATCTCGGGTGTACCAGTTTTCAGTAAAGTTGCCTTGTTTGATGAAAACTAGTGGTTAAATCGATCGCTCGTCACGCCGAAGACCCGGATTCGATTCTCTTCATTGGTGCAATGTGGGAAGCTCACTTCTGCACCCATCATGATATGGCTGGAAGCGGCGTCAAACTATACTCACTCACTCATCATTACCGATCCTTCCCCATAAATGGCAGTAGGTATTGTGATCATGTGTGTGTAGGTCATGTGTTAGTCTGTCTCACAGTCCCTGAACCACATTATTTTCCCTACTGCCTAGCCCTCCCTGCAATGTAGTCTGTCTCACAGTCCCTGAACCACATTATTTTCCCTACTGCCAAGCCCTCCCTGTAATGAAGTTTATCTCACAGTCCCTGAACCACATTATTTTCCCTACTGCCAAGCCCTCCCTGCAATGTAGTCTGTCTCACAGTCCCTGAACCACATTATTTCCCCTACTGCCCAGCCCTCCCTGCAATGTAGTCTGTCTCACAGTCCCTGAACCACATTATTTTCCCTACTGCCAAGCCCTCCCTGTAATGTAGTTTATCTCACAGTCCCTGAACCACATTATTTTCCCTACTGCCTAGCCCTCCCTGCAATGTAGTCTGTCTCACAGTCCCTGAACCACATTATTTTCCCTACTGCCAAGCCCTCCCTGTAATGTAGTTTGTCTCACAGACCCTGAACCACATTATTTCCCCTACTGCCCAGCCCTCCCTGTAATGTAGTCTGTCTCACAGTCCCTGAAACCACATTATTTTCCCTACTGCCCAGCCCTCCCTGTAATGTAGTCTGTCTCACAGTCCCTGAACCACATTAATTTCCCCACTGCCAAGCCCTCTTTGCAGTGCTAAAGCCCTAAATAAAGCAAGTCTAGATTTCTTCAGGTTTGAGGGTCTGTTAACATCTGCAAGAAAACTAACTCACTTTGGGATTACAAAGTAAACATATCTAACTACCATGGCTGACAGGACCAACATCGTCACCAGTGGTCTGGAATCTTGCCTCACATTTTCATCTGCCAACTCTTAATTAACAAGCACATTGGGTGACATGAAGCTATAGTGGAGGCCTTGTGCAGTGTTTCAGGCCTTGAAGAGACAAATCAAGCAAAATCATGGGGAAAGGTTCCTCCTGAATGTTATGTTGTAAAAAGTATTGTTTCATTGTCTGACTTTGGTCCACACATAGCAGCCCAGTTGTTAATGCGGTAAAGGTTTAATTGTAATTAAAACAAGGATTATCTTTTTATTCCTGGTATAGGATTATTGTGTGAAACTCTGGTGTGTTTTGAGTATCTCACTTTATCTAATTGCTCAACAGTAAAATATATGGCAGGGACCTAGCACTCATGAAGAGTGAGTGAGTGAGTGATCATGAGTTTGGTTTTACAATTTTTCATTTTTCCATGGCGACAGTCTGTAAATAAGTCGGATCTGGACCAGACAATCCAGTGGTCAACAGCATGAGCATCTACGCAATTGGGATACGATGACATGTGTCAACCAAGTCAGCAAGCCTGACCACCCGACCCCGTTAGTCGCCTTCTCGTGAAGGACCAAATTCAAAAGGCACAGCATCTCGGAATTAAATCTGTTTACCTTCGTGATGTGATTGAGGAATGCAAGGTGAAATCTAGTGAGAATGATGTAGTACCTAGAAATACCCAGAACATCTTCAAGCGTAAGACGCTGGCCTTTTCACTTCCATTGAACAGTTTGTTTAAAAAAAGGTGGTTATCTATATCCTCTTCGCATATTATACAAATGGAAACTTTTGAATTTGGAGATAAGTTCAAATTCATAAATAATTTTGTTGGTGCTCCAGACAGATCTTGCACCTTGGTCATCTAGTGTCAAAGTGACATTGTGGGCTGCAAGTTTCCCAACAGTAAAATGTTAGGCAGTAGGGGCACTTGATCATGAGGTGATGACAGCATGGAGATAGGACAGGGCTTAAATATGCCTTTCACTTATAGTGTTATCTGATGGTTGTATGATGTGACTTCTAATTGGTAATGACCCCAGCACGTGTAGCCCCAAAGCAGATGTTCTTAGTCTCTGAATCTCTGGTCTCCCTGGGGCTCCTTTTCAATATAAATGGGCTTGCCTTAGTCTAGCCATGTGTCTGTGCCGCCAAACCCTCAGTCAGCCGTTCACATGGAGCAGGGTGGGTGGGGGTGGGGGTAGCCTAGTGGTTAAAATCGTTGGCTCGGGTTCGAATCCCCACATGTGTACAGCGTGTGAAGCCCATTTCCGGTGTCCCCCGCCGTGATGTTGCTGGAATATTGCTAAAAGTCCAAAAAAAGGAACCGGATTTCGTCCGACCAATAGATTCTCGGCTTGGTTCTCAGATTCCAAACCCGTTGTGTGATAACTAACCATGGCCTATAATAATTAACTGTAGCCCGTAGTTTGATGACTCTCAGGTACGTACATTATACCCATATATTCTCAGTGTAGTCAATAGATATTAGATGCTGATGCAATTACCATGGCCAGATGCTGGAACGTAGACGGGTAGGCCAAAGATGGAGAATGTCGGCTGGATGCTAAATCTCAACATTGTGGATGTCAGTGTGGACACCACATGAACACCACATTAACATTACATGGACTCTACATGAACATCAAAAGAACACTACATGGATACTAGATGAATACTACATAAACATTACATGGACACTCCATGAACGCTACATGAAAACTGCATAAACATTACATGAACACTCCATTAACAATACATGAACACTCCATTAACACTACATGAACACTACATAAACATTACGTAAACACTACATGAACACTACATGTATACTACATAAACACTACATGGACACTCCATGAACACTACATGGTCACCACATGAACACTACATAAACTCTACACGACACTACATGAACACTACATAAACACTACATAGACACTACAAGAACACTAAATAAACACTACATGACACTACATGAACACTACATGAACACTACATGAATACTACATAAACATTACATGAACACTCCATGAACACTACATGCACACTACATGAATACTACATGGAGACTACATGGACACTACATAAACACTACATGAATACTACATAAACACTACATGAACACTCCATGAACCTTTACATGAACACTACAGGAACTCTAAATGAACACTACATGAAAACTACAGGAACACTACAGGAACACTGCATAAACACTATATGAACTCTCCATGGACACTACATGAACACTACATGAACGCCACATAAACACTATATGAACTCTCCATGGACACTACATGAACACTACATGAACGCCACATAAACACTGTATGAACTCGCCATGGACACTGCATGAACACTACATGAACGCCACATAAACACTATATGAACTCTCCATGGACACTACATGAACACTACATGCCTCCCAATAGATGCATGGCAATAGTAGGGGAGTAATCAGTTGTAGCGAGACACCTTCCACTAGATGCATGGCAATAGTAGCGGAGTAATCAGTAGTAGCTAGACACACCTTCCACTAGATGCATGGCAATAGTAGCCGAATAAAGAATTTGTGATGAAACTGTGTTCGTCTTAAGCCATTTAC